CCGACGTTGCTGGCCACGCGTTGACGACGCAAGATGATCGCGTTCAGAGTCGCGTGAGCGATCGACCTTGTCTAGCGTTGTCAAGACGTGACCAACAACGCCGTCGGTGGTCCGATACTCGGTTGAAACAACGCACGTCGTTGATCTCTGAAAGCACCTACCGCCGTGGGTAGTATGAATGCGACCAGATTCAAATAAGTCGATGGCTTGGATAAGTGTAGTATACAAGTCATGGAAGAAAAACGTGTAGATCGCAAATTTACCCTCACGGGTTTTTGAATGGAAGTGTTGAGCAACTTAGTCAACAGATAGAATCGTTGTTGCAAGAGACTGGGCCGTGCTGTTGTAGTGTAGGTAAACGAGGTGAACGAATCATTGCTGAGGTAATGGTAATGCTTGAGGAGTGTTATGCTAATTAGTCAGCAACCAAAGTCAAGTGGAAGCCTATGGCTAGAAAGCTGTCAGTAGACATTCTTCAGAGATTGGAGTACTCAAACGAGAAATAATCTAAACATCTTCCTTGCAGTCCCCACGACTAGTTTACCGTGCTCTTTACTCCACCTGGTTCTGAAGTTTCATGTTTTATGAACTCCTGGTACTGGAGTTTCGCGTTTTATGATCTCCCAAAAGCCTCATAGGTGGAAATGTTCGTGAAAAGCTCATTCTGATTATCACATTTTCAGTATTGGGTGATGGATTACCTCTTGGACAAGTATGTGTTCGATTTTTTGCCATTCGCTGTCGCCCCAGAGACGAGGAAAAGTATCGGCCAGCGAGCTTTGACAGTCGTGCAGGTAGGTTGCTCTACGTATGACCCATAGGTGAGCACAATTCCGGGTACATGACTCAAAACCGCATTGTGACCAATGAAGTATATTTTTTGAAACTTGATAATTTTGACTACGCATATTGGATCTTTCACCGTTCTCTGCCTGAAGCCAATACTTTCGGGGTCGATGTCGATTTGTGAGTAGATTTAATGAGCCGAATTTCCATTCCACACTCCTGTACCCGGTCTGTTTCAACGCTCGGCGTTTGTCCGAAGCTGGTTATGAATTCCGGGTAAGAATCATTAAACACATCCAACTAAAGTTGTTGTAGCGCTTGGTGGTAGCTACTGTCATGCGAAACGAAATTAAAACGAAAAGTTTGTTGAGAAGTTTTGACCAGATGTTTTTGTTAACTACTGTTTTTTCGCCGCAGTATGCGAAAGTCCACAAGATTGGCGAGTTATGGACAAAACTTGGGCCTAGGGCCTGACTTGAACCCGTACCTGTGCTATAGCAGTCCCATCCGAGGTCGAAGTTTTCTTCATAACCCACCAACCGTGAGGCTTGGTTGAGAAAATTGGACTAGTTGAAGCGTTAAAAACTACCATAGCCTATTCTTTACTTCCTCCGCCTTAAATGTAACCACAAATATATGTTGCTGATTTCTTATGTTTTCAATCGTATATCTGTCATTTTCCAGTGGGCCGACTGGTTTTGTAAATATGAAAGTCCGTTGAAGATTCTTCAGAACAATCCATATTTTCTTTTTGCTGATGTCCTCTTCGTCTTTCTGTGTTTCCTGACATTTATGCATGGTACGTTGTTTTTCTGTTTTTCCCCTGCTCAAATGTATGGGTGTTTCCATAAGCATTTTCAGCCTATCGCCATGGTGCTCGACACATGTACGTGTGGATCGCGTTCACCATACACGCTTTCAATTTGGAACTTCTATCGCTTTCCGTTCCGGATCTGAACTTATCATGGCATGCTCAGGTACTCTTGTTTTTCTTAATTTTTTTTTCATTTGGATTTATATTTTCCATTCAGGGTGTGCTTAGTTTCTTTGGCATGAGGGTTCCGCTATATGCTCTATTCGGAATCCATCAAATGTTTGGATACACTGCGTACGTACTTGTGAGCAGGTGGGAACGTTTATAGAACGTCAAGGACTTCAGTATACGGTGTTTTTGATAGCCTGTTAAGGACGTATTCGAAAGACGACTATTGTTTTTATTCCAATGAGTTGACTTTGATTCTTTTTCGAGAACCCTTTGCTTTTTTTTCGCGTCTTCGTGAATGTGAAGGTCTTCTCCGATTAGTGCAGTGGCAATATTCTTGCGCCTTGCGTGGATTTTTGGTTGCCCCTTTCATTAAATTCAAGGGATCGATTTTCTTGCGTGATCATATCCAGGGTTAGAATTACAACCTTGAACTGGAAAAAATCCGTTCTCCTGTTTTTTCGAAGACAATTGCCAGATCAAGTTTTCTGCCACGCTTTTGCAGTGAGACCCTGACTTTCGAAGATGAGGGTCGAAACTTCAGGCCATTGAAATTAATGAAGTTTCACTTGAAAATTTCGCAGGGTACAGGTATAATGAAATCCTTGCCTATAATACTGAGTTTTCTACAAGAGAGAAACTGAAATCTATAGAGTTGCACTTTCGAAATGCGGTGTTTTTCAGAGAACACTTGGGATTATAGAGATATCTGAACAGTGGTGCCGCCTTTAACTTGTTAAATAATCTCCACGTCTTCTCAAGTTTTTTAGTGAAGTTCCTTCCTAGTGAAAACTGGTTAGAGGGTTCGGAAGTCTGATGGTCTTAAACATTTGAAAATATGCCATATTGGTTATTTGTTCAAGAGGAATCATTGCAGAATGCGTCTTCCTTGGATAGCTGAAGGGCCAGCAGTTGGTCTCAGTAGCGCGATGTTGCTTATTCCTTACCGTATTTTGGGAACTAAGCTTGTATGGTGGACTTGGCACGATACTGATCCGACTATCAAGGACAGGTAAGTACTAGAAAGTGTGTCTTGCTTCTATAGTTGCTGCAAATTCCTTACATTCAGGATGTTTTGGGTACCGTGGAGCTTACTTTACTTTTACGCGGCTTGCATGTGCTCCTTTGTTTGGATCATTCATTTATCTAGACACATTCTTTTGGAAAGGGAGTACGATTGGACGAAGTGAGTTATTATTATGCATCCTTATATATATTTCTCACTATCCGTAGTATACTGTATTTTTTTGAAGGTTCCCTAGAGAGCTTCTTTGCTCAGTTTTGGCTGGTACACTATCCTTCTGGTTGGGGACTGTCCAGTTTTCGCTTTTCTATTATCCACTTCATGACTTTTTCGGCGTAAGTTTTTCAAATTTCACATGCTTGTTCCCAGTGGATCATAAGACTTTTTTATGATTTCACTTTGAATTCTTGCTAGTGTCGCTAAAACTTGGCTTGTCAGATCCATACCGAAATTACCACTGTACTCTTCTTTTCTCTCTATGCTGCTATAGTTTTCGTGGCTGATAGGAACAATTTTGGCGCAGACGCAAGGACAGGTTCGTTGTAACAGAAAAGAAGTTACGCCTGA